AGTATGATTGTCCTTGATAATATGTCTAAATGTAGATCTTTTTAACCCTTAAAGACCGAGACAGCCGCCCGCGGCTAAAAATAAGTATTGCTCTTAAATGTTTAATAACTTTTGATCCGCTGATCCGATTCATACAATTCAAAGATTGGCATAAAGAAGAGAATCTCAGCTTTCCAGTGCTGTATCACATAACATTCGCGGACTTTCAGAGGCTCCGGGATCAGTGCGGTTACGTCATCAAAATTTGACAACGCTGATTTGACTAAGAAACGCTCGTCACTGTGTCTCCGGACAAACCAGACATCATACATTGATGCATTGTCCCTCCTCCATGCCCAGATTGGTTCAAACTCGCTATATGACAACCAATAAGCATAGGTTTCACTTTTGTTTGTGGACCAACAAGCTTTTTGAACAACACGGAATGAGAGATACATGAGGCATACATTTATGCGCGGCTAAATAAAACGCAAAAAAAAAAAATGTTTTGCATGAAATAATTCTCATACTAAGTACTTTTGCATCCACAGCAGCACAGAAACATGACAAAACAGTGATACAGCAAAGACGAACTGCTGCTCTTGCTGTTTTCAAAAGACGCAAATGAAGGTGCAGCTGTTTGTCTGCATTGCAGACAACCATATCCAAATCCATATTCACAGACAACCATATCCATGCTGGCACATAAAACCTAAGGATGTTCCATATTGAACCTAGTTTAGTTATGTAACTATTTATGGTATAGTAAATATTTATATCTATTTTTTTTTACTGAGGATTTGCACCATGTTTATTTGGACTTTGACACATTATTTATTATTTTCTTAATTTTTTTTTATTTGTTCATTGTAAGGGGTGTTGTTTATAGTAACTGAAAATATATTATTTGGAAAAAGTCAAATTTGCTTCACTGTTCTATTATTTTGTAACATTTTTTTTTCTGTTTAGTTCATTCCCAGAACTTTTGGGGAAAATACATTGTCAGTAAATAAATGCATTTTTTTCTCCCATAGAAAAACGCCTTGGAATAACATTGAAATAAATTGCTATAACTTGCTCAGGGAATTGTGGATGTAGACAAAATTTATTTTGGAAGTATAAAACATCATAGCATGTATTTCTAAAGAAAGAAAAACAAACTTCATAAGGTTTTGTTTGAAATAACTAGAAAATGCCACTTTTTTTAAAAATCGTTTCTGGAAAATTCTGGAATATTTTCTGTCTGTTCATATGTTTTTGGACCAAAAAATATTTTAGACTGGACCTTTAAATGATATAGATTGAAACTTCAGGTTCTCCTGTTTAAAATGATATATGACACTTGAGGCTGACTGCTAAAATAAAAATAAAACTGCTTTTAAAAAAAATAATAATATAGGCCCATTAGGTGCCCACAAAATACCTCTAGGTCTTTAAGGGTTAAAGGGGTCATGAACTGAGAAACTACAAATGTATTTAACCTTTAGAAATAAAAGAGGTTATTCTACTATAACAAGACAACAAGAAAGTTTTGAGTTCTGAAACAGGGTTTCTGCTGGTTTCACAGTCAAATTTAAGACTTTTTAAGACCATGAAGAATTACATTTTAGACTTACATAGGGCTAAATGCTAAAGATTTTTAATGGACCAGAAGCAAAAAAAAAATGTACTTGCCCTATCAAAAAATAAATAAATAAAAATAATTCTAATTAGTTATTTCTTAGCCACATATTTTAAATAATGTGTCAACCCTAGTTATATACATGCATATTATATATATATATATATATATGTGGTGGATCGATTGGGTAGCTTTACATAACAAAGAACACTAAGATCCATTTAAAATGATTTTAGACCTACGAGACAATATTTCAGTCTTTATAAGGCCTAAAAGACATTTTAAAACTTTTTAAGACCCCGTAGATACCGGTGAGATTTTGGTAACAATTTCAAATAATGGTGCATTAGTTAGTTTGTGTATTGAACATAAACAAATAAGTAAAACATTTATTACTGTGTTTATTCATCTTCATTAACTTTAATGTTAAAGTTAAACACTGTTAGTTCATGTTAACTCCCAGTGCATTAACTGTGAGCATTAATAATGCATTAGTTAATAACAATGTATATTTATAACAAATATGTACATACAGTTCAACATCTAGATCTTTTTGATTAACTGCATCTCTGTTAAATGTTTATCAGCTTTTTTTCATATTTATTTTGTGGTGTCACTTGTGACTTTATGTGCACTGAAAGCTTCTGTAGCCAAAACAAATTCCTTGTGTGTGTGAAGCACACTTGGCAATAAAACAGATTATTTTTCTTCTTCTTCATTAATGTTAAAGTATGATTAATAAATGCTTTACACGATTATTCATACTTTAAATACATAACTAAAGGACCATAACTCTAAAGTGTTACCAAAATTTACATTTACATTTAGTCATTTAGCAGTCATTTAGCAAAAAAATCTTTTTTGAGGTAAAAGCACAGATTGTGGAATATGGCACTTTATTACGCAATAGTGTTTAAACTCTGTCTCCACTGAAGGTCAACACTTACTACTACATGACTGCCTGTTTAACTCCTCCTACAGCTTCTATACCAATCAATGATGTGGCTTATATAATAAATCTGTGAGCATTTAGTTCTTAGTCGACAATCAAATGAGTGAGGTGGGAGTGTGTAGAGACGCTTAGTTGCACGTCTGTGTGTCCACCAGCAATAAGCGTGGGTAACGAGACAGTGTAGGAGGAACACTGCGACTGAAAGGCGGCATGGTGCCCAGTACAGGACAATCAGGACCCATGCGGGTGTCTCTCCCATGCCTGTTTATTTTTAGAAAACTGTGCTGTGCTAAGCCTCATGGAGAGTGGGGGCGGAAAAAAGAGAAGAAAAAAAACAGGACCAACTGCTTCACTTTACACTTCCACACTCTTATTTATTTTATTTATTCCATTTTTTTCCTGCAAACAACTTAATATATATTTACCTGTGTGAATTCAGGTTAGTGTAAAAACCTACATAGGACTTTAACTATTTTATATAAACAATCAGCATTTCAATTTTTAGTGATAACGATATCAGATCACCATCACTAAAAGACCAAAGGAGTTTACTAAGGGAGTTCTGGCTGTTCAAAGAATGTCCTTGTGTTTACAAAAATGCAATGGATTATTATAATTAATGAAAAAAAAAGGTTGGAATATGTAAACTTCCTACTGACACAGCTAAATATTAGTGGCATTAAAGACAGTACTGTATATTCTGTATATTTTACACTCTCGTAAATAAAGGTTTGTAAGCTGTCACTGTGTGGTACCTTTACGAAGGGTACACATTTGTGCCTAAAAGGTCCATATTAATACCTCAAGGGTACATATTAGTACCTAAAAAGTACAAAAGTGTTCCTCTTAAAATTTGTAGGTACCAATATGTACTTTTGAGGTACCAATATAGACCCTTTAAGTACATAGTGTGTACCTTTTAAAAAGGTACAAACAGGCACAAAAAGTTAATTGAATTTGGCTTCAGAACTTATTCTGACTCCTATGAAAGGCTGTACCTGTACAAAGATGGGGTAGGTCTCATTGGTGACTGTGTGATAGTGGTAGAATTCACCATCATACCACAAGACTTTGCCTAATGGCGAATTCTCCTTAGTAACCGCAAACATCCTCTTTGGGTTACAGCAATCTGTCAGCAGCTTCCTGGCAAAAAAAAAAAGAAAAAAGAAGAAAAAACGCATGAGCAATGAGATAATTCGAAAAGATAAGGACTGCGAAAACAAGAACATTTTTATTCAATGCAAGGTGCAAGTTTCAAATAAAAAAGTTTTTTCTTCCTGAAATTGACAATTGGTTAGAATAACATTGTGACTAAAAATCAACATCAGAAAACAAATGGCTTCAGGTATAATTTTTCAACATAATAAAAAAAATTTAATTAATAAATGGCTATGAAAGTATAGTACACAAAACTGGCAAGTTAATTAAACTTAAATATGCAAGTTTTGGGAGACTCAATTACTTAATTAAATTAAGGAAACGAGTTTACTCAATTTAGTTCAGTCAACTTATAAGGGTTTTCAGTGTATATTAGGTAATACATGCCAGAAAGCAGTCGTGGTCACAGCAAATACTACATTACGTATTCGTAATATAACATAAACCTAGCATTTTAATAGGCCTATAATCTTTTCCACCGTGTCGTTACAATCGTATTACTTTGCGTTAAAGTAGCTGGAAGTAAGTGATTGAATGTGTTTACAATTAAATCGCTTCGTTCTATTCGAATAATATAATTTAGCTCACTTTGTAGAACCATCACCATTATGGCACAAACAGCCATTCTGGAGTTCAGAGCGGGGCCAGATAGCGTTTCAAACAATCCTGCGCGCATGCGTGTTTCATTAATCGGTTTTAGGAGATGTCTGTACTCTGCAACACTGGCGAGGGCGAGATTATGTTATTGCTTATTACAGTTTACTCATTACAAATGGATATAATGAACTACTATTTGTTACCACGTCACAGGGTCATCAGTGATTAAATACACGAATGAATGAACGTGATTTTTAAAAACTCAAACAGTAGAAAATACCAAGGTTGTTATGGCTTCGACAGTATAAGAAAGCAAGCGCTGATGAAATATGCACCTGGATAAAATGCCTGCGCACTAAAATACCTGTACAGTTCCACCGCGGTCTGGTTCCTGCTCCATGTCTGTCCTTGCCGCAGAACCTCCTCCACCATTTCCTTGTCGCTGGGTATCCTGTATACGGGGAAGATGTACAGCCACAACAACGCCAGCACCCCCAGAGTGGCCCAAATATACTTGCTCCTGTGGCATCTCAAAGACACCATCCCGCCGATGTATTGCAAGAAAAAAAGCCACAAACCGACTAACTGTTAGTCAAAAAAAAAAAAAAAAAAAAAAAACACGTGCTCGCAACTGGCCCGTTTATTTTGGTGCCGCTTCCATCAGTAGAAAAAAGCCGCTTGGATCCCGTTATCCTGTTATTTCCATCGCGCGGCGGTGCGGCATCCGATTTTCACGCGTGCATCAAATCCTCCTCTCATTCCCTGTTCTGCAAATGGCTGAGTTTGTTATTGTTATTAATATCGCGGGAATCCTACATATATGTCTGGCCCAACGGGAGAAATCTTAGGGGTTTTTATAGGGGATCCAGAGATCTTGTACCTCCATCACTCTTAACGCACGTCTTCAGCTCCGCCAAGTCTTTGCTGCTGTATGGCTTCATATTCTTGGCTTTATCACCTCATCACGGCTTGGTTTTCTGCGTCTTCCCGCAATGCAAATGAATTTTGTAAGGCCTTCCCTCTCAATCTGGCCTCTCGGATGTAATCTGGCGAATAAGTGAGAGACAAAGCTCAGTTTGTAAGCGCTTCTGTACGCATCATTGGCCTCAGTCTTTGTTATGGCGCTGCCCTCTACTGGTTAATCAGGTCGCATGAGAGCGGCTGGGTTTTAAAATAAAATAGCTGAACAGGACCAGCATTTATAAACATAAATTTAACAATTGCAAATGTTTTTTTACACATAATAATAATAATAATAATAAGAATAAGAATAATAAGAAGAATAAGAATAAGAATAAGAAAATAAATATAAATAAAATAATAAATATCAAAAATATTTTTTTGCAAGTTCAAACTACTTAATTAAAATGAGCTGAAACAACACAATTCTTAATATTTCATTGGGACAACTTTTTATGTTTAATGCACATAAATTTGCTAAAAACGTTAACTTAATCGATTTGTGTTAGGTAAACACAAATTATTCATGTGGAACCCTGCATTTTTTACAGTGTATTTTCTATTTTCTTTTTTATAAAATTCCTTTATTAGCTGTGTTTTTATGCTGTCACTGACATTCTGCTTTACTTTGGAAGCTTTGGTCATGAAAACAAATTCCTCGTATGTGTACACATACATGGAATTAAAGCTCTTTAATTGTACATACAATAAAGCTCTTTATGATTTAGATAATAATTAAGTAATTTTGTAATGTATCATCATCATCATGATCATTATCGGGTTGTTGTTATAATATTATTATTATTGTTGCTATAAAAAACTATGGAAACCCCATATAATGCTATAAAATTGCCAAGTACTTAATATTTTCATTATAACAGTAGTCATTATATTGTTGTTGTTGCTCTTGTTTTTATTATTATAATAATTTAATGAAATTATTCAAATAAATATACCAACGCTATTAAATAATTAATAGAAATAATTTGAATCATTAATTCATTCAATCATTTATTTTTCTTTTCGGCTTAGTCCCTTTATTAATCTGGGGTCACCACAGCAAAATTAACTGCCAACTTGTCCAACATATGTTTTACAAAGCGGATGCCCTTCCAGCTGCAACCCATACTGGGAAACACCAATACTCTTTTATTCATACACATACACTACAATTACCCAGCCTACTCAATTCACCTACACTCAAAAAAATGATATGTTGGCTTTAAATAACTTTTTTATGTCAACAGGTTCCACGTAACCGAGTTAAGTTACCTTAAAAAAAGAATACTTATTTGAGTGAATTAAGTTAGTTACGTAAAGGTAATGGGATGTTGTTTAATTCAATCAACACAACATTAATAATTTTGCTTTACTTTATTTACAATGTTAAAAGATTCGTTAAATTTACGGAAAAATACCAGCAGTGATTGCCAAGAGTTTTGTGTAAAAATACGGAAGTTTTATAGGTCTGTTTAAATTTACAGAAAATAACTGCATTTCATCAACTGATACAATGCCCAGTTAACAAAAACTTAGCTTAGCTCTCAAAAACGTAAAGTCATTCAATGCAATGTGTTCATGTATGTACACTTAGCAAACAGATTTTCAATTCATTAGTAACCACAGTTACTTTCAAACAAAATAAGATGCAGCACAACATCAGCTATCCTTATATTGGACTTGAACACAGACGCTACTATCCTCCTCAATAGTGCACTCAAAAAATGATATGTTGGCTCTTGTTAACTTTTTTATGTCAACAGGTTCCACGTAACCGAGTTAAGTTACCTTAAAGAAAGAATATTTATTTGAGTGAACTTAAGTTAGTTATATAAAGGTAATGTTGTTTAGTTCAATCAACACAAAATTTATAATTTAGCTTTAATTTATTTACACTGTTAAAAAAATCTGTTAAATTTACGGAAAAATGCCGACAGCTGTTGCCAGTAATCTACTGTAAATTTGTAAATCCATATACAAATACATCAAATACATTCCACAGTCTGTATTTTTCATCAAACACATTTAACCCCTTAAATCCCAGAGCAAACTCCTCACTAGTGTCCTCACTACAGAGGGTTAAACACTCAGGCAGTGATAAAATTAATCAGATAATTTAGAGTCTAATAAAAGGATGAATTGATGAACAACTGTTAACAGCAGAATCACTGAAGGAAAGAAAAACACAAATTACAGCCAAAACTAAAGATGAAATCAACTGAAATTAAAACTCTAAATAAAATAATAATAATCAAAATAATTACACAATAAAAATGAAGATCTCAGCAGAGATCATTAAACAACTCCACTAACATCAGGAGCTTCACTCATTACTGAGCTCTGACTTTATTTCTGTCATGTGGACAAAAGGTCTTCATGACATTTCTGTTGTTCTTTTGAAGTCACCATGATGTAGGTCAGCATCTGCTTTAGTTGGGCTCTTTACCTGCTTATTTCAACACTAGTTCATATTTGATTGCTATAATTAGTTGTGTCCTTCCCTTTAGCTGCATAGCATGAAAAGCCAAAACTATATAAGAATCAGTTTGATAAGATTAACTAAGGTATTGAAACTTCCCTCATCTGCTTCTGTGTTTGTTGAATAATTTGTTAGCTTTATGTTAGAAATGAACTATATGGGTAAATGAAACCACTGGTGTTTCAGCTCTAAATACACCATTCACAATAAGAATGTTTGCTGTATGGCAGCACTTAGAAACACACAGACATCAACAATTAGTCTTTGAATCTCAACAATGGTGACAAACAAAAAATAAAATCTAATAAAAATCAACCCAGAACTATACAAAACTCTTTACTGAAATATTACACCCAAAAAACAACATAAACGAAAGGCAGAGAAAACGATTGTAATAATTTTAAGCTACATAATTTATTTATGCTGCAATGCATGCTGGGAGTTGTGTACTATACTGGCACCCAGCTTGCATTGCAGCATGAATGATGCAGGTTTTTTTTTTTTTTTTTAGCAACCATGGTTGAGGTTCAAATCCTGATTCTTGATGTCTACGTGTCTGAAGGCATTGTTGAAACTCTCCAGGTTTTGTGCAAGACATTTTAATTATAAATTTTTTATATTTATTTTCTATATTATTTATTAGTTGACCCTCAATGAAAAGCCTGTAATATTGTTCCAAACAGCATTGATATAAATTCACAATTCTTTTTTTTATATCTTATATATTTTTAACTTATTAAATTCCAGAAATGATATGTGTAATAATTCAGTACAGAATATTTTCTCATTGCTTTCCTTGCTATATCTGATGAGTTACAGACATTGCTATAACAGTCAGAGAAACATTAAGGTAGAAAAGTGCAGGATCAAGAGCCCAACTGAAGCAGCCTCTGATCTCCATGATGGTGAGGTCAACAGAAAAAAAAGTATAAACCTCTGTTAATTATCAAATATTCCAGCAGATTTGACAGCAATGTGTTCAAACTGTAATCAGTGAAGCTGATAATGCTGTTATTTAATGGAGGTGTTTAATCCTCTGTTTTAATTTAGTTGGATTGGTGTGAGGCGGTGTCTGTACGTGTTTATGTCTTGTTCTTTCCTTCAGTGATTGAGCTTGTCTACAGCAGCTGTTCATCATTGTCTGAATTCACTCATTGTGGTCATTCACTCTGTCTAGTGGAATAAACTAATCGACTAATTTAGGGAGTAGTGAATGAGGGTGTATGGCGATTATTGCTAATTATTGAACAGATTTTCACTGTGGACTGTACAGACTTTTACTGTTAAAATCACCCATATTTTTTCAGTGCATTGAACATATTGCACAGCATTTTTCTAAATTTTCACTGTAATCTTCCTCTTTTGATTCCCATATAATGAGAGCGATTGTTGTGGTTTAAATCTTACTTCCTCTGTTGTTTTGAAACAACAACTAACCTGTTGACCAAAGTGTGGTACTGCAGAAACAACACAACTCCATTTCATTAAAATTGAAAACATACTTTTTCTATTTTTTCCAACACAACTCTTTTGGTTTTAATAGACAAACATAAGTGAATTGTTTAATTTAAACATAGTTACATTTTTTGAACCAACTAAAGCCATGATCCATTTTTGAGAGCATAACGCATATCTTGTGGGGGAAACCGGAGCACCCGAAGAAAACCCACGCTAACACAGGCAGATCATACAAACTCCACGCAGAAATGCCAACTGACCCAGTCGAAGCTCGAACCAGGGACCTTCTTGCTGTGAGGTGACAGTGCTACCCACTGCACCACCGTGCAGCCCTATCATGCACTGTAAAAAATCCAGGGTTCCACACAATTCATTGATGTTTTCCCAACACAAATTAACTTGTTAACACTATTAACAAATTAATGTGGATTGAACATAAAAAATTAAGTTGTCCCAATGAAATATCAAGAATTGTGTTGTTTCAGCTCATTTTAATTAAGTAATTTGAACAATAAAATATATTTTTGATCGTGTAAATTAGTAAAGGTATTACTATTATCATCAATATTATTCACTTTTTTTGTTAATAAGTATGTTTATGTATTATCATAAATATGCTACATTTCTGCCAACAAACTAAATTCTACTTCAAATGGCTCTTGTACAATATATATGACTGGCCTTTTATTGTTTTTATACTATTTTAATATATTTTTGTGTTTACAAACTTGGAAGTTAAAACTAGTCATCACTTCTATTATATATAGTTTAGATAAAACATAAATACATGTAAAAATGAATATAAAACCATGTAAAAAATAAGCATTTTTCAATGCAGTGTTACTACAAAATTTCTCTCAGAATATCTATCTACCTATCTGCCTCTGCCTGTTTGAGAACAAGCACATAAAAATCATAAAAGCATATATAACAGTTGAAATAATTGCACAGTTTAACTGATTCCTGAATAATAATGAATAATACTGTAATTTCAACATGCCACGGTAAAACACTATATTTT